TGGGCTTCTCTAAACTCTAGCCAATTTACCGTTTTTGACCACAAGGTGGTGGCAGAGTGCTAGCATGTGTGAACGAAGCACAGTATGATTTCAACTGCAGTGTCTTAATGTGTGGTCAATATACTGTTTCATTGATTTTATTGATTCTGAATATACTGATATTAGAAATGACACCATGTGCCCATGTGTCATAGTTATACTTGTACAGCTTGTTTATCTTAACACATTTATGTACATAAATCTACATCACTGTTTTCTGATTATTAATCAAAAGCAGGACACGTTTTTGTTTAAAATTGGCATCTTACGTCATCTAAAGAAATTCTGTAACTAAAACTGTTATATCAAAATATCCACACAGACGCATGCCTCTGTGATTTTCCTTTGTCTTTCCAGGAGACGCTTAAATGGAATTTTTTTGTAAATAAATTCCTAGTTTCATCCATGGGATTGGCTGTGACAGTAAACCAATTAGCATTTATTGTTGTAGCAGTTGCTAGGTAGAGCAGGAAGTGAGAGAGAGGTGAAGGGTGAAGGGGTTACTCCTCCTGGAATCCAGGGGCCCTAAATGGGGTCAGCATGTATAGAAAAAAGGGTCTGTAAATACTCGTAAGAATGTGGAGCAGTTCACCACGTTCGCTGTCAATAGAAAATTGTATTTAGTAGTCAGTATAATCTTTTAGTGATATAAGTTTGCATATGGTAGAATACTGCTTGTAGTTATTTGTATTAGGAAATATTCAACCATGTATACTCAATTGTGTAGGGATAGGTTGTGTGATCTTTAACAGGCTGCAAAGGCTTGGTGTGTATTCCACACACCCACATCCTGGGAGCACGAGAAAGGTCGTACTTTCTCTTATTGTTTTACGGCAGGATTAACGTAGCTATGTCTGTTTTAGTTTAAGTGCTTCTTTACATATAGATGAACTGCTGGACTTCCTCACCATGTTATTTAGGGTGAGGGAGACTACCCTTTCCTGACCAAGGATGTACCTTTTGTGCTTTCATGACCCTTTGATCAGCAGTAACACACACACACACACACACACACACACACACACACACACACACACACACACACACACATACGTTCAAATAAAGACCAGGGCAGTTCCTCACCGGAGTCTCTCTAGCCCTTGCTAGCAAGAACTCTGTGTTTCTCTTCTCTGAGTCTTTACTGAAGAAGTGTTTTAGAATATTGTCCTTAACATTCGCCTTCGCACATCAGAGCTCAGCTTTCTTTCTGTTACTTTTTGACAACATAAAGCCCGACTGGGGTCATGTTTGCAAATAAGCACTCTCTTTTCATTTACTGTTTGAATGTGGCCAAAAGGCTCCATTTGGCATCAGCTCATTGACTCATGTTTCTGATGCAGTTGCAACACTTACATTCTTATTACAACCACTAAGAGATAATAGTCTAATTTATAACAATTTCTGATAAATTTGCAGATTTGTACAAGTCCTATTTTACAAGCTAGAAACCCTTATCCAAATCTACAAACCAAGAGTTCAGGTGCTAGTTAATTTCAGGCTAGTTTAGGCATTGTTATTACATTGTTTATTACATACATGTCAGTAAAAGTCTCATTCACATGATGGAGCCCTACTCAGAAAACTGTCAGATTTAACACTCTCTGTGAAACTGGATTAAGGAAATAAGTGTTTAAAGTTCAAGTTTTTAGAGCACGTTCAGCAACACCTTGTGCCATTACACATTCAGGCCCCATCTTATCTTAATGAGTAACATAAATAACATAGAGCTGGATCAGGTGACCCCGAATCCTCCCTTAGTTATGCTGGTGTAGGCTGCTGGGGGATTCCCATGTTGCATTGAGTGTTTCTTCTTCAGTCACCTTTCTCACTCACTATGTGTTCACAGACCTCTCTGCACTGAATCACACTTGTTATTAATCTCTGGCTCTCTTCCACAGCATGTCTTTATCCTGTCTTCCTTCTATCACTCCAAACGATCACAGCAGATGGCCCCGCCCCCTCCCTGAGCCTGGTTCTGCTGGAGGTTTCTTCCTGTTAAAAGGAAGTTTTTCCTTCCCGCTGTCATCAAAGTGCTTGCTGATAAGGGGTCATATGATTATTGAGTTCTTCTCTGTATGTATTATTGTAGGGTCTACCTTACAATACAAATACTGTTGTTGTGATTTGGCGCTGTGTAAATAAAGTTGAATTGCAGAACATGAAATCACTGGGTTAGGTAGTTGGTTGGATTCTGCTAACAGGCTTAGCAGACTTAGCATAGACATGAGTTTAAGTTAACATATAAGTGGAAAACAAGAAAACAGACGAAAGAAGTGGATAACATTAATAAAAACAGTACTTTCAACTATGAGTTCAAATGAAGTATTCTGCTCTTTACTACACAATGCATTGAACAATACTGTAATTCTTGGGCGTTTCTTTTTTCCCCTTGGGTGGTCTTTTTGCTGTGACCAGCCAGACATCCAACCAGTAGGAGAATAGCTAAGAAAAAATCGATTTGATTGACAGTTTCTGGTTGCCATTTTTCATTTTAATTAGTTCAACTACATAAGAAAGTCTGTGATTGATGTAGCTACAGTAAAAGCTACTTGTTGATAGCCACTGATACTTGGATAAAACACTGAATAACAGAATTAGGTTCTTGTTCAACTCCGTAAGTAAATCACACAACACATGGCTGAGACTTGAGGTTTTTTGAGTTACATTTGTTACTACAGCAAAACGTCTGTTTTGCTGTAGTAACTGGTTGGCAAATGGTTTCTTTATCCTCAATAAAAATGTGACTGAAATATACAGAATCAAATGTTTTTTAGCTCAAATAAATAATCACTTCCATTCTAAAAAAAAAAAAAACAGCAAACAGTACAAGTAAACTCAAACCTAAACAAACATCACAATCCAGTCATTACCACCAATCCAGCCTTTGTCCTGGACCTCACCAAACATTTACAGAGACACAACACAAGAGAACAGTCATGCCTTTGTCATCAGCAACGTGGGGCCCCTGTCCTCGCTCTGTGATCAGTGAGCGGCAGCAGAGTGAAGTCCAAACCTTTTATCGTGCAATTAAGAAACAATCATCATAATTTTGCGTCAGGGAGCAAATGAGCGCTTGCTATTAAAGGTGAAGCCATTTTCCTGCTTTTACCCAACAGCACCATTCTCTGGCAATGGTGATGGAAATTTGAGCTTTTCTAGTTATAGACACATACATGAGAGCACAAGTCAAAAACTAAGAATGAGATGTAACTACAATCAAAAACATTAGTATTACACGAATAACTCATTGTTTGTGAATAAGAATTACACATTCAATCTCTAAACCGCAGTCTTCTCACATGTTATCTAATGTCACATAATATGAATATTTGATAATTTTCTTACTTTTTTATTCAATTTCTATGTTACAGTGGAATGTATGAAATGTATGTAGAAAGTGACCGAAAAACTATGTGCCAAAGGACACACTGAAGCAAAGCTTTCCCTCTGTGCTCTTAAAAGAAACCTCCCTTCTAATGCCTCTGCAATGTTTTCCCTCCTGATTCACCGTAGTTTCATTTAGTATGATGATCAACAAAATTGGGGCCAGCGTAGCACCAGATATGGTCGGGCTAAGTTGTAAGAGACTCTCTTTAAAATAGTGGTGAAATGTGAAATTTTGAAAAAATGAATTCTTAACCAAATAAAATAGTTTTTAATGTTAGCGTGTTGGACTACAACTTGCATCCTAAACAGTATTAAAGCTTTCTTGGGATGTTCTCCCCCCTCTATGAGCTGCTAGTGGTTTGGTCCACCCCAAAGCAGCACAGACAAAAATAGTTTCAAACTTGATAGCGATGGTGAGGACTTAGATAACCACTGATCATGCTCCAAGACAGAACAGGGAACTATTATGTGTAAAGTAACTAAGCAAAAAGTTCTTCTTATGCCTGTATAGCTGCTGATATATCATAAAAATGTTTTTATATAATATATAATAATAGTAGGCTATCCCAAAATAGTGAAAAACAGAGACTGATTCAGCTGCAGCTCCAACTCTAAATAAATAGATATATTTATGTCAGTGAGAATGTAGAGCAAGCTGAGCCTTAAAAGGCATCCCTCAAAGCTTTACTAGAGGTGTTTTTGTAGGTTTGCACAAACATAAATCTGGCAACAACAATGCAATATTTCTGTGGGTGATATTTATGGAGTGTGTGGTCCAAAGGCTTCGCCACTGCTCTGGACTCTACACCACCCAACTAATGACAAAACATGTTACGGTTACATCCACTAACCAGTTTCAGCTATCTAAATAGTTTTGTTTTGTAAAATGTCTCAATAATTAAAGAGAAAAACATTATTAATAACATTATGAACTTGACAGATAATTGAGGTTCACATTAGAAAAGTCTGCATGTCAGCCGGGCTTCATGGTGCACTTTCATGCTACTTTAGGAAGGCATGTCTTCATAAGCAAATGATAAGAATGAAGTTTCTGAGTCCCTCTGAAAACAGTCTGGTTGCTCCACTTGTCCACAGTATGATGTATCCTAACCTCAGTCTGATGATGGAGACCTGAACACCTGAGCGCTTACACAGACATGCAGCGAAGTATGTAGTTATATTTCATTA